ATATATATTATAGTATATAATATCTATATAAAGACGTTATTTCCGGGTCCAATACATTGCTGGTTTTCGTGCAAGTCAACAAGTCATTGACAGATTTATTTCCCCCAGTCTTTGAAGCATATTACCTACATTATTTCTTTTATTCTTTTTTTTTTGTTCAGTCATTTAATTTAGATGTGTATTTCTATTTTTTCTGCCCTTTTTAATATTTTCCTTTATAAATTCATTTAAAAAACAACAACAACAACAAAAATGAGTAATAAAGTGTACAATAAAGTACAATCATATACTTATATTATAATCACATTGCACTTGAATAAAGTTAAAGGTGCAATCTGCCGATTGTCTTCCAGGTGACCGCATAAATCTGTCTTCTTACGATGCACTTAGGGCTTTACGATTACTCCAGAGCACTCGTAGATCTACGATGATTTTCAAGTGCTACTTAAGTTACGATGCTTTTGGGAAACAGACTGTAATATTATGATCAGTCGTATGATCGTTTTTACGAACTTCTTAGGCTTACGAAGCTTTTGGGAAACGCAGCCATGGTTATTATATTTTATTGGCATATCAGTTATCTGTATAAATTATAAAACACTATTATGACAAGGAAATGTTTAATTTACTATATTATATATATTTATTACATTTTATATTATCATCTCACACATGGATCAGCATTTTTATAATGTATTTCTATAATATAAATACATAAAATCTGATATGACTTAATATATAATTAGCATCAAACAAACAATATGATTCTTATTCTCAAGGATTAAAGAGTAAACGGGAAAAAAGAAAAATGATTGCACAACCATCAATTACGTGGCGATATGCGCCAAGCATGTAAATGACCATTGAACAAAAGAAGAAGAAAGAAACAGCATGGCGCGCTTTTTCTTAGCGTCCGTTTCCATAGCGACTCATTGATTCGTCGCTCTGTTGAGAATGTCTTGAATCTTAATCAGGAACATACAGGTGCATCTCAATAAATTAGAATGTTGTGGAAAAGTTCATTTCAGTAATTCAACACAAATTGTGAAACTCGTGTTGGTTAAATGACCATGGGGTTGGTGTGCTTGACTGGCCAGCAAACTCACTATGATAGAACTGAACCCCAAAGAGAATCTATGGGGTATTGTCAAGAGGAAAATGAGAAACAAGAGACCAAAAAATGCAGATGAGCTGAAGGCCACTGTCAAAGAAACCTGTGCTTCCATATCACCTCAGCGGTGCCACAAACTGATCACCTCCATGCCACGCCAAATTGAGGCAGTAATTAAAGCAAAAGGAGCCCCTACCAAGTATTGAGTACATGTACAGTAAATTAACATACTTTCCAGAAGGCCAACAATTCACTAAAAATGTTTTTTTTATTGGTCTTATGAAGTATTCTAGTTTGTTGAGATAGTGAATACGTATTTTTTTTTTACAGTGTAGTTTTGAGTTGATTAGCTGATTGGCATGTCACCATATTCTAATTTGTTGAGATAGTGAATTGGTGGGTTTTTGTTAAATGTGAGCCAAAATCATCACAATTAAAAGAACCAAAGACTTAAACTACTTCAGTCTGTGTGCATTGAATTTATTTAATACACGAGTTTCACAATTGGAGTTGAATTACTGAAATAAATGAACTTTTCCATGACATTCTAATTTATTGAGATGCACCTGTACTCTGTGTTGAATGAACTTACTCCCGGACGCAGTTTTGGAACCACATACCTCGAGTAAGCAAGGTTTGGGGTTAATCAACCGAGAGTTCAGGGTTTAACAGATGGTAAGTTAACCGTGCTTTCTGGAATACACCCCTGTTCAAAGGTTTGGGGTCTGTAATTTGTTTTTAATGTTTTTAAAGTCTTTTATGTTCACCAAGGCTGCATTTATTTGATCATAAATACAGTAAGAACAGTAACATTGTGAAATATTACTACTATTCAAAACTACTGCTTTTTATTTCAGCATATTTTGAAATGAAATGTATTCCTATTATGGCAAAGCTGAATTTTCAGCAGCCTGATAATTATTCTAATATGCTGATTTTCTCACAAGAAACATTGTTATTATTATCAATGTTGAAAATTGTCAATTTTGTTGTGCTGCTTTATATTTTTGTGGAAATTATGATTTTTTTTTTTAGGACTTGATGAATCATCAGATTCTACTTTAATAAATGTCTATCACTTTTGAAAGAAAACATTTAATTTTTAAGGTATTAAAATCTAAGGTTCATTTTGATTCATTCTGGATCCATTTTATCATAAAGACAGATCATGAAAAAAAACTTTTATGACTAGTTTTTTGCTGGGTGATGAATTACCTCTCATTGTTTCCAAACTGTGTTTCCATTTTAATAATGCAAAGTTAATGCCTTATAACTACAAAATGATGGATCTATTAAGTGCTAAATATGTTAATTCTATTATTTACTCACCCTCATGTTGTTCAAAAACTGCATCATTTTCTTCTAAGGAACATAAAAGGAGATTGTCATACAGGTTTGGAAGGACATGAGCGTTTTTATTCCTTTAATATATACTAAGGGAGACGTATTCCAGATATTGGGTGATGATTGTTTAGGAACCTTTGCAAACTGTCAATGCAAAAACACCTCTTGAGCTCAGGGAGGCGAGAACAAGGTTTCTGTGAATCTGAACATAAACAATGGAAAGAAAAAAAAATAAAGCAAAGAGCTTGAGGCCTTGGCTTGAGCCTGAAATAGAGCTGAGAGTGAGAGAGACCTTTACCTCACAGCCCATCTTAAGATCATGTAAACAGAGTACAGCTTTGTTATTTATTGTCCATTTAGAACAGGCAGTCTATTCAGCTAGGTCCTTTTTGTTTCAAAATGGTAGAACTTAGAATTTAGTTTAGTATCCTTATGTATAAATGACACAAGATTTTATAGCTGTGAGTATTTTGTTTTTTACCTGTGTCTGTCCTCTGTCTCAGAGTCCTCCAGAGCTCTTTTTCTCTCAGGCTCTCCATCCTCAGGTGCCTGTCCCTGTAGTTAAAAAACAACTAGTTATTATGAGCAAAGAGACAAATCCAAATGACGATCCAAAGCTCTAATAAGACTAAGATACAATAACTCATTTAACAACATTAGGTGTAACACACAAACCTAATATACAAAACTGTTAAGAAAAAACTAAGAAGAAACATACTTATTTCAACAAAAAAACATACAATTTGAAATGTAACGCAGGGAATTCTGGGAATGTCAATTTATGGTTATTCACTGTAAATTATACGTCTTTTTCACTTCCAAAAACGGTATACTACCGTAAAATTAATGTCCAATACATGTAATGTCCAATACAGTTTTTCACCGTATATAGTAGGGGAATTTACCGTTAACCATTTAACAGGTTTTTACTGTAGCATTTTTCCAGTCTTTTACCGTTAAATTCATGGTCATTTTTTACAGTGTAGGCTTGCCGCGATAGACGGTGATACCGGTGTGTTAAGCCGCAACACCGGTTATGTCACTTGCCCACCACCACTGACCCCCACCGTCGTTTAGATTTTTTATAGAAATAAAAATCTTTTAGTTCAGTAAAAGAACAGACACTACAATTAAAAACTGAACGTGGCTGCTCAATGCAGCGTGCCGAACGACAGTCGCATCACAGATCAGATTTAATTTCTCCAGTGTGGAGAGTGAGTCGAGCTGAATGACAAGAAGAGTGAGGTGAGACAGACAAGACGATCGCGGATGATTTAGTTTCGAAACGAAATGCAAAAGCCCCTGTTTGGCAATATTTTGGATTTTGAAAAGCCTGTTGACTTTTGCCGTTTATCTAAGGTGATTTTGGAAGTTTTTTTAAATATTTGTTTCTTATTTAATTGGTTCCACATTGTTTGCTGGTTTTTATTTAATTTTAAAATAAAGTTTTAGTTTAACTTTATTTAAACTTTGTGTCATTTATTTATTTTATTTGACATCAAGGTGTATGCCGTGCCTCCAAGCTTTCTTACTCGTTTTGCTAATAAACGTTCTACGTTTCTTATTTATTTGGTTATATATTATACATGTTTACTTAGGTATACAAAACTGGAAATAGGCTATTTAAACTTTATGTAAGTTATTTGTTATTTTATATTAGGCCTATCCTGCCCTATAGCATGGTGTATTTGTATTTGTTTTGTTAATAAAAGTTATATGTTTTATATATACGCTAAAGTGAGTTTGACTTTGTATTTTGTTGTTGCATTCAAGCAAATGATGCCTAACTGCTGCTAATTCAAAAGTGAAAGTAAAACACGCACGGCGCTTTTAAGCTATTTAAAAGCGACAGAAAGCAAGGAAAAGAGGGAAAATTCAAACGAACAATTGCTTTACGTCAAATTGCCGCTATTTCAAAGTGAAAGTAAAATGCGCACGCCGCTTATACAAGCCATTTAAAAGCGAAGGGAAGCTAGGAAAAGAGGGAACGCGCGGTGATACCGGTGTTGTCACACGTCGATTAACCGGTGGGAAAATTTCCTCACCGTCACAACCCTACTCAAAACACCTGCAAAGGTTTCCTGAGCCTTCAAAATGGTCTCTCAGTTTGGTTCACTAGGCTA